ATTGATGAAGACATTAGTAAAACTTCTTGAAATGTCAAAGGTTGAGGGTAAATATGGGGACTTAGAGCGTAATTGTTGTAGGCCACTCGGGCCTGCACCGGCATCGTCCATATTTAATAAAAATTAACAACAAAAATAAAACAATAACAACTTAATCACGGAAACGGGCAAACAATAAGAAAGGCAGTATGATTCACAATGGATGACAATCCCAGATTACGTACTTTGACAATTATGAATACCTCATAGTCTGACAAAATTAAAAAACTGTACTGCCGAAACGTTTGAAGGGATTAGGCAACGTTTTAAATTTAGTAGAATTATAGTGACATGAGAATCGTGCCGAAACTATCCAACCCTGCTCTTTTAGGTTCTTTAAAATGAACACTTTTTATTGTAATAGTTATTAAATCATTTAAGTTAATCAAGTACTCATAAATTTGTTTAATAGATAGCTTAAATGATAACAGTTAAGTATTTTGTCATAAAGTATACCATAAAAAGAACCTTATTTAACTTCTGTCTAATGCTATAATGAATGAAGTATAAACGAGTTCAGTTTCATCAACGGATTAACTTAAAAATGTTGATGTCCAACTTTATTATTTCTCCTTGTCGTTACTGACACTGGTAATATGTATAATAACAAGAGGTCTTCGTGAGAAATCGGAATCGGAGTATTTTTTAGCTCCGGTGATAGGTTTTGATGCTGCGAATTCAAACCCCGGAATTTCAGAGTTTCAGTTTCTTATAGATTTTCAAATAAATGTAATGTAATAGAGCGTAGGCATTAAAGTCGAATTATCAGTTTTGATACTTACATAATCTCTAACAGATCTTTTTCACAATTTGTAACCTGAATATTTACTCTTTCTTCTTAAGACACATAATTTATTTTTCTGATTAAAACGCAAATCAATTTAATATGTATATTTACCAATAAAATTGGACCCCTTGGTCTTTATACGACTTACTTATGTTGTTTCTACAGTTTCACATAACACAGTATAGCATTTTTAAAACGATTATGGTACATAAACGCACACGATTAACTCTTTCGCATAGCATATTTTTAAGGCGACGCTTTTTAAATTCATGTAACCTATCTACCTTTTTTTATTGTAATATCATTGGTCATATATCATACCAAAATAATATATTGACATAAGCTACATCTAACGGAAATCCCGTTGAACCTACAGGTATAATGTCAACATTCTCACACAGTGACAAAAAATTGAGAAACCCAGCCCATTCAAAATTTTATCTAAATTCCTAGCAATCAATAGTAGTCTTAATTAATAAATATCTTTTTTTTCTATATACATTCTATTTGTATTATCTTTAACAATGTAATCAGATAGCTCAGTTTTTTTATTGTTTTATCTATTTCCCGAAAATTCAAAATTGACATATTTTATAATAGTTTCTTTACGTGTAAATACCACAAACGTGACATTGGCGGAATTGTGTAAATGCAGATAGGCCATGAATTAAAAAAGAAGAGTGGGCTCTCTTTTCCCTAATATACTTATACTTTTACTCTTTGCCCTACTACTGGGGCGCAGGCCTTCCTTGGTAAGAATATGGGCCCCAAGAATTGAATTGCCTAAGGCCCTAACAGGGTTAATTAAAACCCTTAGGGTTTTATATGGAACAACGTCATTCTTTGACCCCATTTCATTTATCTATTCTTCCAATATTCTTTATAATTCTATTAGCGGAAAACAAACGGTTCTGATAGTAAAATCATAGCAGACACATACAAAACCACAATTATGCAGGAGTTACTCATTACACTGGTATCGGTATCGCTATCCCTGAAATCCAAGATTAGATTCCCAGACGGATCAATGTATACATGCCTGTGTAAATAAAACAGCAATTGTTAACATTACTTTATATAATGATTTCCAACACTGATTCAGGTTAATTAAATCACGTAATATTAATTAGCTAGGTACATCGAGTGGTGCTGCAGCATGACATAGACCAGTAGAGCGACCACCTAACTCCTGTAGCTATTACTATAGCCATATTATCCGACATCTTAGCGATATCACAGCGTTATTTCGTTTCATTTTATTACATTGACATGTAGACAAAAGCACATCTGGTCGAACAAAACTGTCAAGTCTCTCCATTTAATTTTAAACCTTAATGACACTTGAGAGTATGGGTGACACCGACATTTTTAATAAAGTAGAACGAATGATAGAGAATGATGAATATTATCCCAAATTTATCAATCAAAAGCCATGTCAAAGTAGTAAAATGAAACAAAATATCATCATAATATGCGCTAAGATGTCGTATAATATGGCTAGTTATGACTAAAGTTAGGGGGTCGCACCCCAGACCGCTGAAACGTCCAGTGTCAATGTATGCAATACTCTATAGGTGATACATAGCAGGCGTAAAACTGAAGGCACTGGCTATTTCTCATTACACTTTACAAATGATACCGCATTGGACAAATCAACTATTTGATTTCAACAATATGATATTAAGCACCATATATAAATACAAAATAAAATTAATAACAAATTCCTTTTATATAATAGGGCTGCGCTTAAACTTAGTAGAAATTTATATAATATTTAACATTATTTGAAGGTCAGAAACCGGCAAACTTTTTATAGAAAGTCCCACACAAAAGTCTAACGTAGGGAAAGTACTCTGATAAATTGATTTTGGTTTGGTTTTATACTCAATTATCAAGTGTTACCATAACGCTACCTTATAATGAAATTAAACAATAATTATACATATCAAACTTAAGATAACATTTTGGTTAAAATTAACAAGCAAAAGTACATAATACAAATTAAGTCGTATTTCGTCTTATTATAAAACGAGAAATAAAATTAGTACATAGTTTGAATCATTTGCCGCCTAAAAGAAATCGTATTGACTTATTTTAATCGGATTATGGTTTAAACCTGGTAATAAAATGATCCGTTTTATATTAAGGCGGCTTAAGTTTAAACTTAGGTATGTACAGTAAATACATTGGAGACTGCCGTTGCACGTAATTTTTTTTGTTTTTGGCATTTCTGACTTCATTTGTCTGTTTTTATAACCGAGCAAGCCCAATGTTCGATCCCCAAATACGATGCTAGAAAAATTCTAATATAATTTTAAGACTAAGCATTCAGTTTCATTCGATGAAATCTACTATAAATACAATTAGTGCAAGGGAATATAATAATAAATCATTTATTAGTTAAATCATTCCATATTAGTTAGGATAAAAGCTACGTATAAACATAATTATATAAATATATTTTATTAAAAAAAATAGTGAAAATTAAATTTTATAAAATATGATTTTAAAAGAACGTGTTATGAAGGTTTCGGTTAGAAAGAAATGGTAACAATCCTCGCTGGCAGTGCAGGTGCAGGCCGCCGCCGACGACTTAAGACTTCTTCCTGCAACCACATGCTCCAGTTAGTCACCACTCACCGATCATCACAACACACCATACACCTACCACACCACACCTCACACCGATATATAGACGGAGAGCTCGTGTCAAAAATCTGCAAGAGCATTTGACCGCTTGATTTTTTAATATATTGCAGTACTAAGGGAATAACTCAGTACCCAGTGCGGAGGTCAGGCGCTGGAGCACCTTTTTTATAACGGAAATGCGCCATAAGCCTTAAACCTTGGCTATTCAACACGCTGAGGCTAAACTAGAATTTGACTGGCCTACCTGATAAAACCCGCTGCGGTTTACCTCATTCGAATCCGATATCAAACTTCCGAAAGCTCTTGTACATTTTCCTCACGATCTCTTAGGTTAACTTTTGGAACACCCCCTCCAATTCCCCCCCTAGCGATAGGCGACCGTTACCCCCGATTTGAACAGAATGATAAGACTCGAAACAAGAGTAAACAGGCGCTCGGTGCTCCCCTCGCGGCTCTTCCGCGTCGACCACGGTCGATACGCGAACAGATAGTTTAATGAGAAAGTTTATTAAACTTTGATCGACTTTCTCATTAAACTATCCGTTCGCGTTGATATTATTATATGTAATACAATATAATAAAAATACGTCAAAACTTAAATAAATCTGTAAAACAAAATTAAAATCCGTTAATAAATTACCAAGTTGTGTCTTTGGCCTCAGACTCGCTTGTGACGTCACAGCACCGAACTCTATATCGTCGTATTTTCTACTTATAGAGTATTACTCTGGCACTTTTAATGGAAATTAAATTTTATTTTATAATTTGTATGTAGTTTATTTTTATATTTCTTTAATAAAAAAACGAAAAAGACAAAAATGTATAGATTTACTAACCTACAAAGGGTAAAGATATTGCTTTTAATGTGTAATAAACTTGTTTAGATACCAATCAGTATAAAAACAGGCAAGGACGAGTCGGACGCGGGCGCCGAAGGTTCCGTAAAAATATTACCAATTCTTACAGAAATATTTGCGGTTTTTGTAAATATACTATATCACCGAAAGTTTTCGTTGAAAATATTCATTTTAGTCTACAGAATATTATTGCGTCGATATTACAATCTTTAATAATAAAAGTTAGGGGCGGGGGGAGGGAGTTGCTGTTACATTTTACCTTTTTGGAAGTGATGATGCAATAGGTAAAGGGATCACCCGCCTGCGATTTTTGTATTAACTGTTGACTTTTATAATGGCATATTTACATTACCATTACATTATTTACATTGTCGATAGGGCCTGCATGCATAGTGCGAGCGACTCCTACGGGCTCATATCACTAGTCGATAAACTCTTTCAGTTTCATTCAAACACTAATGCAAATAAGCACAGAAATCACCGCACTTCGCATGCGGGCCCTATTGACCAATGTCAATAAGCTTGCAGTAGTGGATAAACCAATGACAGGCAATGATCGCCTACTGAAAACAAGCATAAAAATCGTCCGCACTCCGCATGCGGACACTATCAACCAAAGTAAATGAGCTTGTACTTGTCGGTAAACCAGAGTCAATGGCCGTCTAATGAAAACAACTCGATCGTCCGATCCAAAACACCGAGGGTGGGACGAGCGGGGGGGAGAACAGTAAACAATATATATCGGATAAATGAACGGGATCGATAGAGAGCTAGCCCGTCGGCTCAGGCGCCACGAGGAGACTCACTGGTCGTGGTTGTCGGTGTCGGAGTCATCGAGCTCTGGCTTTGTGCGGCGCTTCTCGTACACGAGGATGATGGCGCAAAGCACAAACACCTCCGCGCAGATGCCGAGGAAGGGCCAGAGCGCGGCGTACATGTCTTTAACGCGCAGCTGTGTGTGATCAGAGGCGGCGCCCGCGCGGCACCAGTACAGGCCGGCGTCTCCGCGCGCGGCCGCGTCCAACACTAAAGCTGCCCCGTCCACGCCCTGTTCCGACGCCTCCAGGTGCACGCGCCCGCCCCTAGAACCCTCCACCAGAGGCTCTGACACGTTAACCTCCTCAGAAGCGTTGTAGTACCACGACACCTGCGGGTACGGCTTGCCCACCACCTGCGCGATCAATCGTTTTAAATAATTATAATTACGAATCTTTCGAATTAACATGACACAGCCGACCACTAACTCACCGGACAAGATTCTAGAAATCTGGGAGATGCTGTGTCAATATTTCGTTTTTACTTCCTTAACATGTACTTAATCACGGACGAAAGAATGAAGATTATGGATTTGACAGCAGCATTTCCAAATTAGTAGTCTGTTCCAAATTTATCCGCCAAAAGACATGTTTTGAAAGAAAAAATACCACCATAACATCGATAAAATGTCGTATTCAATGGCTAGAGAGTTAGGCGGTCGCACCCCTTAAGGCCTATTCTATTTGTCCTCGAACAAAAAATCAGTAAATACCTATCGTTCTTATAATTTTATTAAAATCATATCCCTGAAGATTATCTGTGCATCAGAAGCAGTATTATCTAAAAATGCATATCTTTAATCGTATACGTTTTAGCATTTCGAAACTAGAATAAACCTTCAGGTGTTACGACAACTAGTTTATTTTCGAAATTATTGTGGTTTCACGGTGTTTCGCTAAAGTGATTTGAGTTTCCTCCTATCTAACGGTATAAAATACAACGGGTACTGTGAGTGTACGTCCGGTGGTGTCACCTTGCACTGCAGTTTGATCTTCTGCCCCTCGACGACGTTGGTATTGTCCGGAAGCCGGACGACGGGCCGGCCGTGCACCTGCCACGAGCGGTCGTCGGCTCCGAGCGCGCACGTGTAGTTGCCGTAGTCCTCTTCATTGGCGCGCGCCGTCAACGTGAACACGGCCCCGCCCTCCTCGAGCTTGTAACGACCTTTCAGCTCGGTCACCTGCTCCAGACTCACGTCGTTCTTCTTCCTGCGGTATAACGACACAAACCTCACCGTCGTTCATTCATAATGTGAAATCAACTTATCTTACCTACCCTTTAATCACTCTCGTGTGATGGGCCGTCCATATGTTACAGATAGTTTGCTCCTGAACTAATCAACTGTACCAATTCAATTATTTGGAATACTATTCTATCCTGGTATACTATCCTGTTTTCTTTATTCAAGACTAAATCACGGCTAGGTGTTTAACGAGACCAAGGCCTTTAGATTCGGCGCGATATATCAAAAAACATGATTTTACGTCATTTAGATAAGCGGAAGTGTCGCAGTGTTATCTGCACAACAGTCGCCGAACATCACCTTGTTATTCGCTAATATGAATAAATAGTGGAACGAGTTAATTGTAACAATTCCGTTATTACGACGATGAGTCAACTCATTTGCCTAATGTAACCAGACTGTGTTTCAGCATTGCTACACTATTTTCCACAGTCACACTATCACTAAGCTTATAGAAATATGTACCTACAGTATCTTGACTAATAGTAATGAGTGAGGTAGCTCTGATTAAGACTAATTCCGGATCATAATAGGATGCCTAAGAATCTTTTGAACAGCAATTGTTTTATAAATGGCGTGAACTGGTCACAGAAATAATTTCCGTGTTAATTGACGGCATAGACTGCTGAAGAATGTGCGATACACACCATACGTATGAGAGCGTCGTGTCTGCGGAGAGCATGGAGCAGTTGAGGGTCAGGTTGCGATTGATGTCGTAGTACACGAGGTATGGCTCGCCCTCGTCCGTATCAACTGAAACACACGACATTACATTACCTTAACGCAAAAAAAAGGACAGCTCAAGTCTACAGATGAAATCAGGCTTTCAATGCAAGTGTGATAAAAATGTATTTTCATTTGGTTGTAAAGATTTCAAAATAATAATCCACTTTATTTCGGTCCTCTTGAGATGTAGTTTTTTTGTTGTTCGGTTATGGAAATCTTTAAGTAGATATATCGTCAAAGCTTCAACTTGGACGTACGGTACAAGTGAATTGAAACCATACAAGCCACCAGATAGAGTTACAAACCCAAAGTCGATGAATTCATTCAAACTATTTAAATAATGAGGTAATACGTCAACGGCCTTCTTTTAATTTGGGTCGATTAGTCGCTGTCGACTTATCTTACATACAGTCCACCGATCAACTATAAGGATAATAAATTGATTACAAAACACAATTGAACGGCGTCTGTTTGAAGAATCTTGCAGCTGGTCACAGTTTAGTTGAATGTTCGAATCGTTCGGAAGTTTAGAACAAGACGGTAGTTCATAATATCATAGTAAATCTATCTTCACTATGATATTACATTAGGAATCTTAGGGATATTAGGAATCTATATCCTTACATAATTATAAATGTGGATGGAAGTAACCGTGACTGTCAGTTGAATGAAGTTTGGTAGAGATAAGAGTTAATATTGGGAAGACATAGGTTACATTCTAAAAGAGGAATTGTAATAGGTTATTTAAAGTTTGTATGGAAGTTCGTCATTTTTGAAGTCGAAACATTAAACTTTATTTTTGGGCTACTGATCAAAAACTGTACCTAATTCAGCGATAGTGTGGATTCTAGTAAATTCTATAGTGAAATAGGGGTTGAATGTTTATATGAAAGAAAAGCGAACTCATAAATTTTAAATCAAATAATGATAATTCAATAAAGAAAGAAATACCGACTGATTATTGCTATACACGATTATACAGATATCTACAAGGTACCTCTGATATTAATAGGCTTAGATGATAAAATTCTGATAACAGCGGTCTAGCTACTGCTTATCACAATGTGCTCTCTAAACCAACTACTATACAATAAGCATTCGTATTAGCTCTACGCTACGCTATGTAGGGTTTAATGAGTCTCGATAAATATCAGCCTCCGTGAGCAGCAAGGAGCAGCGCGGGCGGGCAGGGGGCAGTGCCGATACGCAACCGATTTTACTATAATATACCTACTAAGCTTACTTAAACATGTACAAATCTACGTTCGATCAATTTAACAATTACACATGAATTAAAAAATATAATAAAATTACCTATGCTACAGAAATTCTTACATAACGTCGAATATCTACATACAGTTCAATTCTACAATAAACGTCTACGTGAGTAAAAGGAACGCAGAAATAATAGATTCTTTTAAGCGATACAGCGATAATTCGAAATACGATCAGCGTCTCGTTTCCGATCCCGTGTCCGCCACGAGAGCCGGGCGAACGCGGTTCGCAGCGAGCGAGCTGTACCGGCGGCGGCGGCGGCTGCGGGCGAGGTGAGCGCGGGCCCAGGCGCCAGCTCGCGGGCGGGGGCGGGAGCGGACGCTACCAGCACGCGCACACGGGCCGCGTCGCGGTCGCGGCTGCAGGTGTACACGCCAGAGTGGTGAGGGCGTGCGGCGGGCGCGTGGAGGCGCGCAGTGAGGCGGCCGCCGGACTCCGTCCGCTCGCCGGGCTTCATGTCCGCCGGCGGAGGGGCGCTGCCGTTGAGCCTCCACTCGGCGCGGGCCTCCACCCGCAGCGGACACTCCACGGTGAGCGGTGCACCCACCGGGACCGACACCATCGTCTCCTTGCCCGAGTCTAGACCGTGCGCTCCGCTTAGTCTATCAGGGAACCGATCCTAGTGCGGTGCCCGCGGCCGATTCGATTTGCATCTCTACGAAATGTATGCCGAACTTAATCGAATCGGGCTCGTACACCGAGAGATGTGTCTTACTGATCATCGAACTCGATACTGATCGAGTATTTCATTCGAAGAAATATCGTGTTTTACTCCTATTATCCATTAATTAGATTGAAGACCAGGTCTTCAAGCTAAAGATCATCAAAATGTTAATACCTAGTCATAGTTTACTTATTTATGTTAATTAAAAAACATATAGGCAATACAGGGCCCACCGCATCCAAATTATTATACATAATATTATGGAAACGTCAATCTGTCCTTAAAAAGGAGTTAACAGTATGTAGCAAATTATTGTAAATTAATGTTTGTTTTGTTAAGTAGCAAACATAAAAATGATCTTTAAATTATTTGTGACAAGCAATAGCAGACCTTGTAATAAATAAGCCATATCAAATATTGAGTATATATGATGAAGAATATCTATAAAGTACCTACAAACTTCTTTTTAGTGTATGTTTATATAGGTATTTCTTTTTTCAGAAAATATCAGTATTATAATTATCCTCTCTACTTATGTATGTCTGTAAATAATATATTGTTCAGTAAAAAATATATAGTACATTGGTTGCTTTTATAAATCCTAATGTAAGAATATCATGCAACAGATTCATAAGAAAAGTAAATTGTGTGGAAATTTATGGGAGACAATGTTAACGTTCCATGACCTTCCATTATCTGCATATTAATGGTATAGTGCATTACTAAGGAAAATGGTTTGTCTCTAGAATTATTTCCATGGATACTTAAAAATAGTTAATTTTTTTATCCCTGCCCAATCAAATCCATAAGGGAATTATAAAAACCCATAAAAGTTAGAAGATGATTAAGTATTTTCATGAACCTCAACATCTACCTACGCTCTTCATTTATGAATATGACAGCCAGAAAAAAACAACTTATATAGATATATATAGAACTATTTATAAAAACAATAGCAGATGTGAAAAAAAAAAATATAATTACGATTGATCGGAGTTGATAGAATTATTTTGTGTACTTGCCATATGTTACAATAATATGGATATTCCAAATCTGGAAAGTATCATAATTTTTTCTAGATTTTCAATGTGTTACTAATGAAAAAATTACACGTCACTCGTACGCTTATTGTCTTACATGTGTCTTATAGTTATTATAAAAAGAATTTAATTCAGCAGTGTCAGTTGGAATCCCGCAGAATATCCATATTAACATCAATGTTTGCAATGAATATAAAAAGATTTAGTTATTTATTTATGGAACTGTCAAATTTATGATACTTGAGTAAAAAAGTACAGAGACTCATCTTCTAGAAAGCGTTCAAAATAAATACCTATTCTGGTAGGGTTGGCACAGAAGGAAATAATGAAATAAAGTGGTGTTTTTTATTATATACGTAAGTATATTATAATAAAATGCTAACTTTTACAGTAATGTATTTTACAGATTACTTACTCTAAATATTTTCTTTTGTATTTGTTTATGTTTTTCAATAATTTGTTGTCAATTAAACCTGAAGATAAATTCTAAATTTTACATAAAGCCTTTTCAAATAGTCACAATTCATTTCTTATATAGGTACTATTTAAAATATTGTTTAAGGGTATTATTAAAATCCACCTTCACTGAAATCTTTGTTGTGATCAAAAATAGAATCTTTTCCTAAATTTATTGCTTGTTCAGATGATTATCATAAAATTTCTTTTTGTCACATTTATGCTGTTCCAAACACTTTCAATACAAGTAGATATATAGGACTAAACCATTTTTTGTAGTAAATCAAATTGATAATCGTTTATTCCTACTGTTAAAGTGGTTGCACCGTATGCTAGTAGTAGTGTACTTATCACGGTGCAGTTGTATAATGATAGAACTCTGTATTTATTAACTCGTGTGGTTATGATGCATGTGCAGGCTTTGATTTATATTTAATTAATGTCAACTCATTTATGTTATTACATGAAAAAGTAAATGTTCTTGTAATTTATTGATATATTGGACTAATTTAATTTTAATGTCTAATATGTTAAGGCTAATTTTGTTACTGAGTAACATAGTTACTAGAATGTTACAGTACCATAAGACTGATAACTTGATATCCTACTTATTTTTACTGACTTCACAAAATATGAGGTTCTTTAAATATTTGTTTATAGCAATAGGATACCATGATTTTTACTACTCTTTCAAACAATAATCATAGCAGTAAAATTTACTTAAAATGTAAAACTAATCTCTACAACATTAATCATTGCCATTAACTTAAAAGTAATGTAGAAGTGCAATTTCTGAGTTATTTCTAAGTATTTTCTAAATGCTATTTGACTTTTAATCAAACAAACATGACTTTACATAAAACTGCGGGTGTGTGCAATAATGTTTTATTGGTCATTTTACATAATATTGTTTAAGGTACAAGCAATAAAAGAGACCTTGATGAAACTGGATAAAGGCAGTTTCTTTTTTGTTATTACATTTTTATTATAGAATTATTAGTATTGTGTCCTATTATAAGATTCTTTTATTTGAATATGAAGATGTTTTTGATAACATACAAATAGAAAAAACAAAGATTATCAATTGTGATAAATTATTTAAAAATATGTATTAGAAGATGTCTATTTCATGACATGATTGCTATCATTTTCATCAGCCTATTAATATCCCTACTTTTTTTTATTTTATGGAATAGGGGGCAGTCGAGCAGACGGATCACCTGATGGTGAGTGATTACCGCCGCCCATGGACACATGACACTTCTGGTGCACGAGCCTTACTTAGGCAAAGAATCCATTTCAATCTTTGAAGAAATACTATTTTAATACTGTCATCAAGGAATTTAAGAATTGAGCACACAGTGTAACTTTAATGACACTTTCATTTCAATTTACTTATTATTCTTTACAATTAAAAATTTAACAAACAATGTTAAATTTATAATTGTAAGAGTGAGATTTCACCATATTTTGTTAATGAATAGAATTTAAAATTAATATCATACATGTATTTATGACAGTAAAATTGTATTTTTAATGACAGTATTGGAACTATGGACTTTATTATATGAAATTGAAACAATATTAATAATATAGAGAGAAATAACATGGTAGCAGTGTTTACCCAGAGAATATGACTTAATGAGGCTGTTAGACGAGATATACATGTTTACTGATGATAACAATATCTACTTGAAAAGATTATTGTAGCAAGCAAAGAAAACATTTATGAATGTTGTATTTAACAAATATCCTCATTTAAACTCTTATTCATCAAATCTTATAATAAAAGAGATTTATCTGAGCATTGTGATTCATGTCAAGTATTGACCATACTGAGCATAGCTATAAAACCATCTCTTACAAACTAGTAATAACTTGCCCTATATCCCATCACCTAGCGTTAATTTATTGCTTTAATGGGAATAAATCCTTAAGAAAATAAATACAAAATTGATTAAATATAATAAAAAACTATTTTTAAAAGTATATAATATCTAAAAACGAACAAAGAAAATTAATTAACTATCAAACTTGTCAAAATTAGATATCAAATACTTCCATATAATAATCTTAAATCAATGACAGAATAGGCTGGGTACTTACTTTGAGCATTAGCAGGGGCACCATTTGATATAAATAGAAGTCCTATAGCAAAATATAATAATTCCATGATTTTTGTTATCTAACGATCTTGACTGCACCAATTATCACTATCAATTAAGATGTAATATTTTTATTGTGAATAGCAGTGAACTGCTAGAAAACTGAAAACAGTGATTATAAAATCCTCTTAGATGACTGGAACAATCATCGGTCGATCAAAAAGACTCGGACGACGACAATGGAAAGAGGAACAAAACGACGGGCGAATGACGCACGCCCTTTTTAAAATGGCTGAAGATCACACTGAGACGGTGACATTGTCTATGGTGACAACCATGGATGTAACTTAGGTACAAACAGGACTGAAGTTATTTACATAGTTTTGAATAACATTATCTGCAATTTTTTTGGAGGTTAACTTCAAACAACAACGCCAATATGTACAACTGAAAATTGAAATTTGGACAACTGAAAATGATATGCTGAAGATCTGCGTTATCTTGTGTACAGCAGCAACATCGGGCGCTACTTAGGACATTGATTCTCTTAAGACGAGTTGATAGGCAATGGCCAAGACGCTTAAAGTTAAAGACCGAGCTCAACTGATTGGAACTCAGACCACCTAACATAGGGATAGATCCGTTAATATTGTTAACTGATCACATTGTCAATAAGCTTGAAAAGAATAATAAAGTAATTGCAATATTTTTAGACTTGGCCAAAGCTTTTGACACAGTCTCTGCATCACTCCTTTTGGAAAAGCTTGACAGGCTTGGTATTCGAGACATACAATTAAAGTTATTTGAAAGTTATCTTACAAATAGGTATCAGAGAATTGGTGAACATAAGAGTTCAGACTTGTCAATGAATTTTGGTGTCCCACAGGGCAGCATTTTGGGCCCTACACTCTTCATCGCATTTATAAATGACATGTGTAATTTACAACTGACAAACGTTAAAATTATAACTTTTGCCGATGACACTGCGCTTATTTTCTATGTAGATACTTCGCAACAAGTTTATAGCTATGCTCAGACTGGTTTTAATGAAGTTTATTCTTGGCTCATCGACAATGCCTTAACACTTAATACTGACAAAACCAAATATATATCTTTCTCTATAAGGAATGTGCAGCTGGCATTACATAAAAATCTTTCCATTGTAGCCCACTCTTGTCTATCTAGACAAATCTGTTCCTGCAGTCAAATTACTTACGCTTATAATATGAAATATTTAGGTATCTTGATTGACAATACGTTGAGTTTCCACCACCAAATTGACCTTCTTTCGAACAGAACCCGTAAGCTAATTTATGTCTTTAAAAACTTGCAAGATGTTGCCGACGCAAGTGTTTTGAAAATGGTTTACCAAGCCTTATGTCAATCTATATTGAGTTATTGTATCACAGTGTAGGGAGGTACACCAAAGACTAATTTACTAAAGATTGAAAGAGCTCAAAGAGCTGTTTTAAGGGTGAGTTTTGGTCTACCATTTCGTTACCCTATAAAGGAACTGTATTCAACGGCTGATGTCCTGACAGTGCGGCAACTATTTGTTCTCAATACTATATTGAAACAGCACTCCTTAATTAAATTTGATCCTTCACTAAATTCATCCAAACGCCTCAAACATAAGGTCTGCCAATATACTGTCTCATGGCCTAAAAGATTTTCACAAAGATTCTTTGGTTTCCTGAGAGAATGCAAAAGGAACCTAACTTCATGGCTAAAATATCTTAGTTATGAAGACACTGAGAATTGAATAATTATACCTTCGTATTTTTTTTTTTATTGGCTTAAAACAAAGTAATACAGTTATATAAATATAAGTATAAACAAATAAGACAGTATTTAATAGCGCATTCATAACATACACACACACCCACGCATACACACACAAACTCCTACATAACATATTTCACACTCATTTCGCACACCACAATCTCTTTTATTACTTTTAATGTATTACATATCACTGGTACCTCATTATAATTCCCGCCTGGTTCAGGATTGGAGAGGCTGGTTATCTGTTATACAGTTCTACTATTACACATACCAGTCTCTCGCATAGATTATAAAATTGTTCTACTTGGATTTTAAGGAGGTTACTATATTGTGAGAGAACAAATAAAGTTTATTATTATATTTATTATTATTAATGTTCTTGATCCGCATATGTTCTCGGGGTGTCGAGGAGCATGCATTCACACTGGTTCCCGAGCAAGCGTTCCGACCACGGTGTTGCCGTAGTGGAGAGACTAAAAAAACACAAAAAATATTTTACATGTTTTATTAACTTTACAATCTATGGAGATGTGAAGCCGTTCAATTCGATTTATTGTTAATAAAATTTCGAAAGGATAACATTTAAAATGAAGATAAATAAAAGGTAGTAGAGTCTGGCAAGCGAAACGTGTCACAAGAAAAGGGCGGCAATTTCAAAAATTCTTAAGCAGTAAACACTGAATGAAGTACTGCAAAATAATTTTGATACTTTTATTAATTATATTTAATCTTAACATTTAGATATCAATTAAAATTATTTGTTTTGGAACATTTGACTAAAGCGTGACTGTTCTTAATTGTACAGTTAACAGCATATCAGTAGGCTTATTCACTAACTCAACTGACAACCAAGAATCGTCATCACCGTAAAAAATAGACACTTTGATTGTGTCAAAATCACTATTTCGTATTCTCTATCAATGATGAGCAATTTCGAAATGTCAATATCGGCATTCTCCACTGGACTCCATTTTGACACTTGATTTCGTATCGATAAACTGTATTAAAGTAACATTGTTGCAAAGCATATTTGAAGTCGTCGCATAGTACCTCTTAAGCCATTTGTTGTTAAATTAAAGCGAAAAAAAATACGTATCCAATATTTTTCTATTATCTGACTGACGGACTAAATCGAATCTTTTTTTTAACCCATTCGTTATACCTATTGGCTAACAGCACTTATAATATTAAAAATTCATATTTGTCATTAATTAAAAGGGTGTTTTTTGCAACGACTTCTTTGTTTTTTTGTAATGAATATGGGCGACTCTGGCCACATTTTTTTAATAAATGTGATGTTAGCCAATTTTGATTTCTGGCCCTTATATTTATAATGTGTTCATAACACATACATGTCTCCTAAGGGATTTTCATCACAACCTTTTGCTCTGATCCAGAACCACTATCTATCAAATTAAATTAGTCAATATAAACACCAGATTACAATAAAAAAAACATTTATTTTTGTTACAATTAAGTGCCATGGATAAATTACATAATACAGGTGTCACAAAATCATCATGTTAATCACAATAGAAAATTTAAGATAAGATTTTGACTATGAATCAGACTAAAAATACTTTAGTCTGATTCATAGTCAAAATCTGTTTCTAAATATTCTACACCTGATAACAATGACAAGGAATCATCAGAGTCACTCTCTTCACTACTGTCTGCACCAACAGATATAATAAATTTTTCAAGTTCGTTTTCAACAATGCCATCTTTTAATTTGTAATCATTTTCGACATTTAAAACATGATCAGTGTATTTCTTCCAGTCACTAGGGGTAATTAAGTTAAAACACTCTATTATTAAGCTTTCCATTTCCTTTCCTGGTATTCCAATGTTTCTGCTTGCAATTTTTCTTTTTGCTTGACTCCAAACCATCTCTATTGGGTTTAAGTCACAATGATACGGTGGCAGCAATAAAAGTTCATGATTATGTTCTTTTAAAATCTCTTCAGCTTCATATACAGGCAATGTTTTTTTATCATTAACCAAACACATTAACTCTGCCTTTGTCTGATATTCCTCAAAATGTATTCCATTATTTACAAGCCATTTACGGATATCTGCTTTGGTATTAGACATTATAGGCGGTTTATTGATTTGTTTTATATGGTAGCTGGCATTATCCATAACAATTACACTGGGCTTACTTAAATTTGGTATTAATTTTTCTCTGACCCATTTCATAAAGTTCGATGAGTTCATATCATCATGATAATCAGCAGATTTGGATTTACTACTGAACACTAATAATGCACCAGGCACAAAACCTTCCTCAGATCCAGCATGCACAACAATATGCCGTTTTCCAGAGGATATCTTTGTAGTGACACCAGTTGTTGAAGGTCCTTGCCAAGACTTTTTAACTTTATAATTCTGATGTACATAAGTTTCATCAAGGTACACAATTTGCTTTCCTTCGTTTCGTTTTATATTTATTTCTCTCAAATACTTGTGCCTCCATGCAGAAATCTGGTATTTTTCTATAAGCATAGAACGTTCATTTTCATTGCTTTTAAAAGAAAATCCATTCTTAAGCATAATTTTTCGTAAAGTCTCACGGCTACCACTGAATCCTATTGCATCTTTTAATTCATTGTGAAGGCTTCTTAATGTTGGAACAATTTTTTTCACACAGTAAAATTCATTTACTTTATTCCGAATTGCACTTAAATCAAAATTATCTAAAGCAGACACTGTTGGTTGATGAGGTCGTTTTTTCCCAGGAGTGTCCCATTTTCCTTTATTAATTAATGCTTCATTTTTTATCCTTCTTAGTGTCCTTATACTTACATCTATAAAAGATTAAACACTTTGAAACAAAGATATGTTAAATGTATTTAAAAGCAAATAATGATAGACACATACATCAAAATAATTTAAATACCTATTCAACTATGAATGCAATTTATGTTTAATTTAGTTAAGTTTATGTGCATATTTAGCATGTATAACAATTACATGGTTTGATTAGTTTCATGAATTCTGTGAATTTCCTTGTTAAACAAAACATTCTTATGACATCATTGGATGTCAACAATAAAAACCAATACATCATAAAAAACCTATGTAAATATTATAGGAATACTATCAATCTATCTTAAATCAAAACAAGAAAAGAGACCTGTCATTGAAGAAATTTTTTGTAAGTACTGCGTTTCCGAATTCAGCATTTCTTGTTTTTCTAAAGTTTTTATTGCATTTATCTCCTCCATTATTGGTTGAATATCACCATCACAGTTATCTGAAATAGAGCAATATTTTATAAAAAAATATCTGTTTAGTTAATTACAGAAAATTAAAACGAAAGTATCAAAATTATAATACAAAACTAACCTAAAAAAGATACAACTTTATCTAATCGTTGTAATTTCTCCATGAAATTTTTATTTAATTCAGTTTTCACTTCAGTAAACTTGTCAATCATGATGGAAAGAAGTTTCCTCGATGAACTTTTTATCGGCTTCGACATAATTTTTAACCAAAAACACAAGTTCAAATTCGC